CAGTGTGCCATCTTGCTGGGGCAGCTGAGCTTGAGTAAGGGATCTCCCCCAGGGGGCCAGACACTTAGGGAGCTGGTGACTCCTGGTGGCGCCACTGCTGGGGCAGAGGAGGAAGGAGAGTGGCCAGTCTAGAGCCCAGGCACCAGCTGCACCTGCAAAGCCGTGCACACAGCGTTCAAGGGTTAGGAGGGACTGGCCACGTGAAGGTAAGGCTTCCCTCTTCCCTCAGGAGGCAGGCAGAGCCTGCTACCTCCCGAGCCCAGAGGGGACAGCAGGAGCTGGGACAGGGGAGTGGTCTCAGAAGCCAGAGGTAGAAGCAGGCCAGGCAGAAATATATCACGGGGGGGGGTGGGGGTGGGGGGTATAAAGTTCCGCCTCAAACTGCCTGGGACAGAAGAAGGCTTTTGGGTCCCCTGGAAGGGCACTGGACTGGGAGTCAGAGGCCAGGAGTCCAGCCTGAGTGAACTTGGACAGGTTATTTCTCTCGGACATCAGTTTCCTAATAGATGAAGTAGGAGTTAAAGAGTGCCACGCTAGTGAGCTAAAAGCTGGTATGTACATCCATTCGTTGACAGACTGTGGAGCTGGCAGCAAGACTGAGGGCGCTCTCTCTGAGCCAGTGTGGAGAGCTCCAAGATGGATTAAGGGAACAAGAGGGGCTGAACGGTGCATATCATGGGCTGCCTCACATCTAAAGAGGGGACAAGGACAAAAACGTATTCACATTTCATGATGCAGCTCCAGAACGTGCCTTGAGACCACAGGTGGTTACCTGTTGGGGAGGGCTGGGAGATGGAGAAGCACGGGAACAGTAGTGAACCTCTTCATTTAGATGTTTCTATTTTATTTTTTAACTATGTGACTGAATTACCGATTCAAAAAAAATAGTATAAGAAATAAAAACTCAACCTCTGTCATTACCATGTCACAAATGAAAGAAGGGCTGTAGAAATGTGCCGTCATCTGTCTTAGCTTTCCACCAATGCCAGGGTCCCCAGTGCCGAGGAAAGAGATCCGCAGGTTCCTTCCAAGGCTCGCGCCGGTATGGCTTAGTCAGGAAGTCCCTTCTTAGGTCTGACTTCATTTTCTCCTGCAGAAACAGCCAGCACTGCCTCCCTAGTTCCATGTAGCTATCAATAGGTATCTTCAACTCCCTCTGGGCCTTACTTAGTTTGCTGGGTAGGTCTAAGCCCTACATCCTCCCCCTCTGAGAACTTGGAGTGGTTTGTGGTTACTCAGTGGGGAAGAGGCCCATTGGTTCTTGTAACCAGCCAGGGAAAGGGAGATACAAAGGGAAGAAAAGAGAGGCTAGAAAGCAGAGGCTTGCTGCCCAACCTCTCCTCCCCCTCTCCTGTGCACAGCCCATCTCCCCTACACACGTAAGAACATCTCTGAATCGCCCTCCTACTCCCGCCCTTGTCCTTCATGGCCTCATCCTCTCCCTGGTCCTCCCAGGTGACTGCCCACGCCTGCTGTCACCATGACGACCATTCACCACAAGCAGATGCTGCAGGAGCACGTGTCCATGGAGTTCTCCAGCTCTGCCACCCACGTGCAGACCTTCTCCCAGACAACCAAGATAGTGGGAGGCGAGTGGGGTGGGGGTGGGGGGTCAGAAAGGGGCAGACTTTCTTCCTCCAGTCTTTGCGACTCTGGGGCCCCTCAGGAGCCCAAGACAGCAACAGCAACCCGCTCCCAACGGGTGCTCCTAATCTGTGCTTTGATGAAGCTTCAGCCAGCCGGACGTTCACCCACGGATCAGATGTCCAGGAAAACAGCTTAAGAAAAATCAATCACATGGATGTGTGTGAGTGCTTGATGAACTCTTAATCGCTTGAGGAGATCAGAGCCCTAGGCAAATGCATGTATCTCTGATGGTAGAATTTCAGGCATGGAGGAAGTAAGGGAGGGAGGGAGCTACCTTAATTACATATGAGTAATGCTGACCCTGCTCCACTTAAGAAATAGGAGACTTGGAACTGCGGAGGGGAGAGAGGATGAACACATCAAGTGACCTAAGATTCCAGGCTCTCGGCCCCTGGGGGCCAGACTCGGGGGAGGGCAGATCCAAGGGAAAGCTGAGATACAATCTCAGAGCAGAACAAATGGTTTTAGTCCTTTTTAGTCCCGTCTCTAGAGGAATGTGATTAAAAGATGGCCAGGGGCCAGGATATTGAATACCTGTCCTCTCGGTCATTGCCCTCCCTCAGAGTCCTCTGTGCACAGAGGTCAAAGCCAGATAAACACTCTATACCAACCTCGTGGTCAGTGAGGCAGAGCGAGTGGAGCAGCCAGGACTCAAGACCAAAAGTTGCAAACCCAAGTGATTAATGATTCTCAGCCCTGGCTGCACATTAGAGGAATATTAGGGGGCGGGGGGCGGGGGGTGAGTGAAAAAATAGCAATACCTGAGTTTCACCTCAGACTGTTAAATCAGGTGTTGTTTTGTTGTGTTTGTTTGTTTTTAAAGCTCTCCAGGGATTCTATGTGCAGCCAGAGTTAAAAGCCACAGGCCAACAGGGTCTAGGCAGGGAACATAAATGCAGGAAAAACACTGAGATGAACTGCAGAGGACATACCCCATCTAAAGGGGCAGCCACTGGTCACCTCCCACTCACTGTTGCCCTGTAGGAATACAAGTCCAATGTGGAGAATCTAGAAATCTCAATTTTTATGTGAAATCTCTCAATTTATAGATGTAGAACTACTTTTTGTTTGAACATTGTAGAGGTCAAATAAAACACATCAGCAGGCCGGGTGCAGCCTGCACACGGCTCATGTGAGACCTCTGATTGCGATTTAAGAGCAGGCCACCGGGCTCCTTAACACATTTTTCTCATCCCAGTCCTTCAGATTAGTGAGGATGATAAAGGCACCTACCTCACTGGGATGTTGTGAGGATTAAATAAAATAATCTCCGAAACGTGCTTAGCAAAGTTCTTGATTCAAGGAATGTGCTTTGTGAATCAGAGCAGTTGTTATTCACTATTACCTCACCTGCCAACAAGATTGTAGGGAGACTCTACTGGAAAAACGACTTTTTTGTTTTCCAAATAGCAGATTATATTACCACATTGCAAATGCTCTTTCAGATAAGGAGATTCCGATACACAGCCCCCGTGCGGGGGAAGGTTTTCAGGAATCACCACTCCCATCACCATGAATGCTGACCCCACAGAAGGGCAGGGAGGCCTAGAACAGAGCTCAGCTGAGCTACCAGGCCTCCCAAGCATGAGCAGGCCCAGGTCCCTCTTAATGCTCCTGGGGGACCAGGACTTCCAGAAGAGAAGCCCACGAGAATCAAGAAAAACCCAAAGAGAAGTGTCCTTTTTAGAAAAAGAAAAAAAAAGTAGGCCTCAGGCTGTGGCCCAATAAAGGTGATTGACCATTGAGTGGTGGAGAGGAGCTGGCTCCCCCTAGTGGTTGGAATTTGCCATAACACGATGACCCATCGACTCGGAGGTCCTCCTTTCTTAGTTAGCCAAAGCCGGTCCTGCCCCCGCTGACCTAAAATGCTCCACTGTCCCCTCAAGGAAAGCTCAGCCCTCCAGTTCCGGGCTGAGCTCCGCCTGGAGCCCATTCTGACCTCTCGACTGCGGCCACAGAGCAAGTCGTGTCGAGGAAGTCCTCGGGCACTGCCGAGTTCTTCAACTTGGTGACACGGAGCTCCGACGTCCTGCGGGCGGGAGAGTCGGAGTTCGTGGAGAAGCCTCAGCCTGTCCTCGCGTCCGAGGGTGCGTCCCTCCCGCGTCTCCCCAGACCCCTGGGTGCCTCCCTTTCTCCTCCAGTGCCCCAGCCACCCCCACCCCCACCGTCCCCCGGTACACAAACACTGGCAGAGCCAGGCTGAGGGTCCCCTCCTCTGCCCAGGGCCGGGGCGAGATCCAGGCGAGGAGGCAGGGAGCAGGCAGAAGGGGCAGCCTGGAGGTTAAGAGGCGAAATGCGTCCCGTGCACACCGCAGGCGATAAAGGCGTGTTCCGAGCCCGGGTGCAGAGGAACCCCAAACCCGACACCTCCTGGAAGAGGGAGAGCGGCATCCCCATCAAGGAGTCCGCCAAGATATTCTGCGACAACATGAACAAGGAGCACGTGCTGAAGGTGCGGGGACCCGAGCCCAAGATCCAGTTACGGATGAAGCCAGAGACAGGGACCCCCGCGGCGGGTCGCCGGTCTTCTCACTGACAAGAGAGCCACAATGGCGACCCAAGAACTGGGAGATGGGCAGAGGCTCCGTTGCCCTGGAGGAGGGGCAGGATAAGAGAGGCCGAGTCAGGAGATGGGGCGTTGCTGGGGGGGGGGGGGACCAAAATTAGGGGCGGGGCAAGGCAGAGCTAGGGCAAAACCAGAACAAGGAGGGGACAGGACCAAATGGAAGACAAGGAGCGGTTCCAGAAGGTGAGGGAGCCAAAAGGGAAGGTGAGACCGAAGCTATGGGCGTGGGTAGAAAGAGGCAGGACCATAGTGGGTGGGGCGCGGCTGAGTTGGGGCGGGGTCGGGACGGAGGAAGGGACTGGTCATAGAACAGGGGTGAGGGTCAGGGTTCCGCTTCAGGAGAGCTTTACAGAAGACTGTCGCCAAGGGCCTGTCATCCTTAGGTCTAACCATCTTCAGCAACCTCTGGCTCCAGACCCTTTGAGGAAAGGGAGAGATGGGTCACTGGGACCCTGTGACCTTACTTCTGTCCCAATCCTGCCCCAACTTCCCGTTGTGAAAGGCAGAGTCTCCCCTCTCCCTAACAGACGGAAGTTGGTTCCTTCTCCTCTGAAGACCCATAAGCAGACACAAGCTGCCCTAGAGTCCCCCTACTGGCCACCCCAGTCCCTCTACTGGCCACCCCTTACGCAAGCTCATCCATTCATCGAGCACTTTCCGAGAGCCCACCGGTATGTAAGCGCCACGCTACAGGCACCAAGACAGCCGTAGTCACCACTGTTTCCTCAGGGGCTCAGCCCAGTGCCTGGTATGGAGGACTAAATATGTGTTAAGTGGAGGAGTATTCAGCCTAGTGCCAGACACTGCAGGTAGAGTTACAACTCAGAGCAAGTCCCTGTCTTCCAGGAGCTCACAGCCAAGGCGGAGAAGCCAAGGGGGAATCAGGCTACAGACACACCCACGCTTTCCCATCTCACAGAAAGTCTCCCCGTGGTTCCTCTCCCCCCTCCCCTACTAATGGCCTGACTCTGATCCAGCTAGAGCCACTGACCTCCGTGGACTCGGACAACTACAAGTGCATTGCAAGCAATGACCATGCAGATGCCATCTATACCGTGCCCTCGCTGGTGACAGAGGGTGAGCCAGCCCCCTCCTCCTGGCCTTTCCTCTTAGGGACCAAACTCCCCCTGTCTGACCCTCTCCTCTCTCTGTCCTCAGGTCAAGATAGAATGGATTTCAAAAAGCTGTTGAAAAAGAGGTGAAGCTGAGAGGCTCCTCTGTGCTGGGTGTTGTCCCCCCACCCTCCAGCCTACAGCTTCTCAAAGGCCTTTCAACAGAGCCCTGAGTTCACGGCCCAGGTCCCAAGAATCCATGGAGTGGGGAGGGGCATCTCAAGGTTAGGAGAGGTTCCCCCTGCCTTCAGAAGGAGGCACTGAATTCAAAGTTGGCACCCACCTCCTTCCAGGGTTCCTCCTGCTCCCAAAAGAAGCAGAAGGTGACAAATGAGAAAGAGATGCTGGAGATTTTGTCCAAGGGGCCCAAGAAGGACTTTGAGAAGGTCTGCATGGAGTATGGTTTCACCGACTTCCGGGGGCTGCTCAAGAAGCTCAAAGAGATGAAGAAAGTGGAGGTGGGGGTCGGTGCCCATCAGGGGGCAGGGGTCTGCAGACCAGGGGCCAGGCCTCACCAAAAGTGCTAGTGCCTGTGTGTCTCCAGTGGCAAGGTCTCCCCGCCCTGCACGTGCTACTTGAAGGCATACTCTCTACACCAAGAGCAGGAAAGGAACTCATGTCACCTTCCTTTATCTCTCCTCTCTTCACTACTCCCTAATAAACGTACATGGACTTTGGAGTCAGACAAACCTGGGTTCAAATCCCAGTTCTACTGCCTTATTAATTTTTTGAACTTGGGCATCTCTCTGAACCTCAGTTTTCTCATCTGCAAAATGAAAGTTATACTTTCCTCTTTCATTTGTTTTTGTGTTGTTCTTGTCATTCATTCACTCAACCAACTCGTAATTATTAAGCATCTACACTGGAATTAGAGAATCCATGTAATGGGCCCACGTACATAGTGACTGTTCGACGAATGGGGGTTCCTTTCTCATCTCTTATCATATCCGTCTCCCCCTAAATCTACCAGTTGATCAACGGGGGGAGAGGGGAGGCACAGCTATCTAATCAGCCTAGTCATTTCTCCTCAGCCCCTTCGGGGGCTCCTCCAAGATTAGGGACACAGACTGAGCAGGCTCCAGATGCCCCTGACACCTGCCATTTTGTTATCACAATCCCTCAGGCCATCCGGATTCTGAAGCCCCTGGAAGACAGAGAGACCAAGGTTGACACCACAGTGGTCTTTGACTGCATCATGGAGCTGAAGGACCCCCATGTCAAGATGATATGGATCAAGATCTGGGGGGGACACCTAGGTAGGGCCCACCCTGGCAATTTCATTTCCTCTCTGCACCCCTCCCTGTGCAGACCCTCTCCTTATCCATCAGCCATGTCGTTTCTTCCATCCCACTAAGAGGATGCCTCCCAGTATGGTTGAAACTGGCTGGGAGCTGGGCTCTATTTTTAGCTGTTTCACCACTTTGCTGTTTGATTTGAGACACTTTCCTCTCTCTAAGCCTCAGTCTACCCATCTGAAAAGGCTGGATTAGATAGTCCTGAAGGTCGCTGAAGCTCTGTGCCTCTAAGAGAAAGTATCTGATGAACTCTTGACTATTAAGAGTTCAGGCCTCAGGGGAGGCAGGGACCCTGGATCCCACCGAGCCAGATGATGAAGCTAGAGAGATCTTAGGGGCCTCTGGGTGTGTTTGAGGATCTTAGGGAGGTGGACGTGGCACCCTCCAGCTCACGCTGGCCTTGGGGGAATGGGGACCTCTGGAAGTCTCTCCTCAACCCCTTCATCAGCTTTTCCGCCTGTTCCATGACACAGGGTAACGAGCCACCGAGGATCGAGTGCTCCCCGGACAAGTACGATGTGAAGCAGATAGGCACCAAGCACATGCTGGTCATCACCAACGTGAACATGAATGACACAGGCACCCACAGCCTGTCTGTGGTGACAAGCGGATGAGTGCCCAGCTCACAGTGCTGGGTATGAGTGTGGGCATCAAGGGGCACAAGGACGACGTGGTCAGGGTCGGGGGAGGAATAGCCAGAGATGGGATATATGGGCATATAGGAGAGAGGACTGTGGGGGTACTCAGGAAAGGACTGCACGGGGCTGGGAGCTAATGGAAGAGAGAAACATGGGGTGTAAGGGAGAGGACTCTGAGATAATAAGTATCATGGGGCAGTGTAGCATAGTGGTTAAGAGCACAGTCTCTGGAGTTAGACTACTGGGGTTCAAATCCCAACTTCTGTCATTTATGGGCTGTGTGATTTGGGGCAAGTTATTTAACTTCTCTTTGCCTCAGTTTCTCCACCTGTAAAGTGGGGTATAATAGTAGAATCTACCTGTGTGGGAAATGGATGTATTAATATGTGCAAATTGGCTAGAATAGTGCCAGGCACACATCTAAAACTACATAAGTCCTTTTTTAAATTGCTGTTAACATTATGGGGGAGGAGATCATATGAACACCAGGGGAAGGGACTCTAGAACTCACAAGAGGAATGAAAGGAAGGGTGCTTTCCCCAACTACGGGCTACGGGAGGCCATTGACACCTGAGTCTCCATGCCCCCTTCACCATCCCACCCCAATGACTGCCCCTCCTACTCTCTGCTGCAGATGAGCCGCTGAAGTTCTTGGGACAGACGAAGCCAATGAAGGTGACAGAGTGCCAGACAGCTGTGTTTGAGATCTGCCTCTCCAAGAAAGTGCCCAACTTTGTGTGCAAGTTCAGTGGGAAGGAGCTGAAGAGGGATGAAAAGTATGAAATCACAGTGTCCGAGGAGGGTCTGACCCACAGGCTTAAGATTAAAGATGCCAGACTCAGCAACAGTGGTGAGTTCTCTGCCGAGGCGGGGGACCTGGTACAGAAGGCCCAGCTCCCTACTGACCGTGAGTGGTTGGGCCAGGGCCTGAGGGATGCGCTTCATGCCACAGCAGCCTCCATGTGCTCAGTCATCCATCCATCCATCCATCCATCCATCCATCCAACCATCCACCCATCCATCCACCCACCCACCCACCCACCTATCCATTTCCTCCTTGCAAGGCCCTGTGATGGATACTAGAAAGACAGAGGGTTCTCCTCTCCACTAACTCCTAGTCCAGTGGGAGAGACAGGTGTGGAAATGGAATTAGAACAAAAGTTCTCAAGCAAGGAAGACACACTGGGGTCTTATTATCTGGGAGAACATGGGTCGTGAAATTATTAGCCTTTATGGCTCTAATATCATATATTACAGCACATCACTCTTGACTTCTTGCATTCTTATATTATAGCTATTTTGAAGAGTTGCACATGATGGTGTGTACACCAAGAAGCATGTCACACATGAACCACACTTGACACATGTGGCATGGAATCATCATTGCTGTGATGGAGGGAAACACAGAGGCTATGGGATCCCAAAGAAGGGGCATCCCCTGGTGATGTCAGAAAGGATGTGATGAGGTCACGGCTAAGCTTTACCAAGAAGAACAAAAAGGAGTTCAGCTTTCAGAGAAGGGGGAAGGGGAGAGGACATTCTCAGCAGAGGGAACGGCATGTGTAAAGGCTCAGACACCAGAGAGACAATGCAGTTATGGCTGGAGTTCAACAGGGGCATTAGAGATATGACTGCAGTGCCGTGATGAGGTACAAGTTGTCACCTCATTTTACATACAAGGAAACTGAGACTCAGAAAGTGACTGCATTGCATGCAGTCAGCTAGCAAGTAAGGGGCAGAGCTGGGACTCTCCCTGCCCGGTGCCTCCATGGATCACATGTTGCACGCAAACACGCTCCATGTCACAAGTTCCCGTGTTTTCTGGGGCCAAAAACAGGAGCAGGGCAGCATGTAGCTTCAGAAAAGGGATATAGGAGGTTAGGAGCAGGTCCACGTGTTTGTCTGTCTGTCTGCAGGCATCCGCATCAAGTTTGTGAGCACCCTCAAGAATGTATGTGTGAAAGAGAGGAGCCAGGCATGCCTTGAGTGTGAGCTGACATCCAAGGATGTGACACTGAGCTGGAAGAAGGATGGGTGGCTGCTGGAGCATGGCAACAAGTACAGCATGAACCACGAGGGCAAGCGAGCAGAGCTGGTCATTGAAGATGCACAGCTCAGTGACAGTGGCGAGTACACCACGGTGGCCATGCAGGATGGGGACCCCACTGAATACAACAGTACTGCCACAGTCACCGTGGAGGGTACATACCCACCTGTCAGTCCCCACTAACCAACCCCCCTGACCCTAACAGTTCTCTACTGTGGACACTGATCAGTCCCCCTATTGACTCCAACCTTCCCCAGACGGTGATCAGTTTCTACCTCCACACTCTGACCACCCTCATCTCCCAAATTCTGACCATCTCTGACCTCTCAGGCCTTGAACATTTCTACCTTCTGGGTCCTGATCATCCCCCATCTCTCAAATTCTATCCGAAATCCCTTGACTTCATCCATTCTTCGCTTCCAGACTCTGACCATTCCCAGCAACCCTGATCATCCCATACCCCTTGACCCTGACCAGCCCCCAGTCACTAATTCTGATGATTCCCCACTGACCCTGACCACCCTCAGTTCCCCAAAACCCTGGGCATCCCACAGACCAGCATAACACAACTCAACATCCCAACTCCACTAACCACCTGCATCCCCACCAGCTAGTCCCCTTCAACTGAGCATCCCTCCACTGACCATCCTCTGATGATCAGCCCCCATTAGCCAACTCCCAGTCTTCCTGGTCACCATCTCCCAATGCCACTGACTTCCCCCTCAACCCCCAACCTACTTGCGCCAGTCCCCTCACTGACCATTCCCCAATCGTCCATTGACCATTTCCAAACCTCCTGCTCATCATGAATGATTTTGATAGACGCAGCACCACTGCCCCTTCCCATAGCCATCACCACCAGCCCTTTTCCCATGAGTCCCTTCCACCTCAACACCTCAGCCAAGCCCCTGTCCCCTTTCTCCCCAGAGCGTCTGGGCACGGTGAAGAGCAGGATGTCCGACTTGCATGCGGCCACCGGGAGCCTGGCTGAGCTGTGTGTAGTGCTGAACAATGAGAAGGTGGAGGACGTGTGGCTGAAGGATAGCAAGGAGGTCCGAAGCAGGGGCCAGGGAAGGGGACGAATGAGGAAGGCGCGGACAGCGCATACACTTGCACTCACACCCCCCCTCACCCCCCAGATCACAGACTTGCCCGGTGTGCAGATCGTGAAGCAGGGTGCGGTGCACAAACTCATCTTCCCCAACATGGGCCCCGAGCACGAGGGCAAGTACACATTCCGGGCCAAGGCTGCAGAGAGTGAAACCTCGGTATTCGTTGCAGGTAAGGTCGCAGCCCACTACAGACGAAGCTCACCCATGCCAGGCCCTCCTTGCTCGGCACTGCCCCCATAGCCATGGGCTCCACCCCGGCTCCTCCCACATCCCCGCTGGGCAAGCCTTCTCTGCCGGCCGGCCCGCAGATCCTCCTATCCTCGACCCGTCGCGGCTGGAGGCACCGGCAGCGTACCCCGTGACCGTGAAGGTGGGCCACACGGCGACCATCAAAGTGCCCTTCCAGGCAAAGCCACTGCCCAAAGTGATGTGGTACAAGGACAGCGTGGAGGTGACAGAGGAGGCACTCGTGTCCATGGAGCGCGAGGAAGACCAGGCGCTGCGCATGATTTCAAACTGCATGTGCGAGGACAATGGCCTCGTTATGCTCAAGCTCAAGAATGACTACCGCTCGGCCACAGCCACTCTGCACCTCAGCGTGCTGGTCTCAGGCACCTGCTGCTCAGCACTCAGGGTGGGAGGCAGGCTGGGGATAGAGTGGGAGTTTGGGTTGAGAATGGGATTGAAGTGCTGGCTTTGCAGCCAGAAGCCCATTTCTTAATTTCCTAACTAGGTGGCCTTGGGCAAGTCAATTAACCTTCCAAAGACTCAGTTTCTCATCTGCAACAGGGTAATTTTGGGGGTTTTCTATCTATTTCAAGTAAAGTGTAGCAGAGCATACATGCACAGCACGTAATAGACCTTAAACCTTCAAATGTACTTAAGGATTGTTATTGACTGGGAGGTGGGGGCGTGGTTGCAAGTAAAGTGGAAATGAGGTGAAAGAGAGGTGAGATTTAGGGAGGGAAGTGAGGTTGGTTGGTTAGAAGTGAAATGGAGTGAGGGGAGGTGAGATAGTGTTGGAGAGACAGATGGAATGGGGGTGGGAATGGGATTTGGGACTGGTCAGAACATAAGATTAAGGGAAGAGATGAGGAGCTGGCCTTAGTGAACTCATATTCAAATACAACACACACACACACATACACACACACACACACACACACACCATCACCACCTCCTCCACTTGCATCTCCATCAAGCATGGGGTGAGAAGGTTTGGGTTTCGATTCAATGCAGCAGCATGACTGAGCACCTCCTCGGTGTTCTCAGTGCTGGCACCACAGAGATGAAGTATCCCCAGCAGCCCCTCAACCCAAAAGGTGTGAAAACTGGTAGACATGTAATTATAACACAAGATAAACTGTAATACCAGAAAGCACTGGAGTTCTGGAAGCTGAGAGGAGTCTTGTCTGGAAGGGGACAAGGGGGCATCAGCTGAGGCAGGGGCCCCTCGGGTCTCCAGTCCACTCATTCCTAGGCAGACTGGAGTCTCAGGAAGGCAAGGATCAAACTCTTTGGGCAAGTCTTAGAAGGAAGGGCAGAGGACACAGGGAAGGGTGAGGGATCCAGAAAGCTCAGAATCTAGCTGTGTCCCAGTCTGACTGGACCTCTAGCGAGTGGGACGAAGCCCTTCTGCTCCTTTGCTCCAAAGCCCCATTCTGACGCTGTCTTCTGTCCTCTGACCGCCCCAAGCCTCCCCAGCGCTGGGTGGAGTTCCTGGAGCTCTCGGGCAGTTGTGTGCACATGAAGTGGAAGGCCCTGAAGGACAATGGTGGGTGGCCTGTGACACAGTTCATCGTGGAACGCAAGGCGGTCGGCAAGAAGGCCTGGATTAAGATAGGCGAGGTGGACAGCAAACTCACCTGATTCTCCACCAGCGAGGTGGAAAAGGGAAAAGCCTACCAGTTTCGTATCCTGGTGGTCATTTTGGAAGGAGTGAGCGACCCTCTGGAGACAGACAAAGTGTTTGCAGGAAATCCTGTTGGTCAGTCAGATAGCCCTGTGCTCAGGGGTCAGGATGGGGCCTTCAGCCAGCGAGGAAGGCTGGTCTGTGCGGAATTCCACAGGGGCATGTCTCTAGCTGTCCCATGAAACAGATGAATTCCAGAGTAAGAGCAGAACACTGTTTGGGGCAGGAATTCTCAGCTATCTCCAGTCAGATCACATGCACAACACACTGCCATGCGTATACCAGAACTGTGCACAAGTCCAGGGAAATGGCTCCTCTGGTTTCTCCATTCCAGAAATCATCCCCAATTCAAGTGAGAGTGATGTTACTTTAGGGGTAACCTTGATCCATTCTAATTTTTTTCCCCAGAGAAAACCCTTGACAACATTGGCATTTTAATTATACTTGCTAATTAATTACTTGCTACATTCCTCCCAACTGATCTGCATGTCTCAGTGTGTCAAGACAGTACATTAAGAACCGTGGCATTGAGGATGATACAGACTGGAAGATTTTCCACAGCCGCACACAAACCTACAGCTGTTTGAGGAGGTCCCCAACATGGTGACTTTGACCTGGAACCACAATCCCGACCTGAAGGAGGACAGTGATGCCCACTATGTCATCCTGAAGCGGGATGCCAGCACAGCCACCTGGTTCACTGCGGCCCATCAGGTCTTCAGCACCAAGTATGCGGTGACGGGGCTGCTCCCGGGCAGTAGTACTTCACTACTTCGAGTGGTGGCCTGGCACGAAATTGGTGACAGCAACCCACTCGACTCCAGGGATACCTGGCTCATCAACAAGGACAAGAGTGAGTGAGGGGACTTAGGGGCTCAGGTTCCATCTGGGATCCCTGATGGCGGGGATGACAGAAGAGTTGCAAGTGGTACCCAAGATTTGAGGTGGAATCTGAGAACCACTGAGGTGGAAGGGTTAACGTCGGGACGCTGGGGAGAGAAGCAAAGGTCAGGAAGCCTAGGGGAGGAGATACCTTGGGGGTACGCTGAGGGGTGGGACTAACGTGGAGGTGGGGTGGTGCCCCTGGGGGCGGAGATGATGGCGGAGGGCCGGAGGGAGGGGCGGGGGCGGGGGCGGGGGCGGGTGTGTAGAGCCGAGGCGCGGTCCTCTCTGAGCCGAGGGGCTGACGCTGATGAGGACTGGGGAGGGTCTCCGAGGAGCCGGGCTGACGTCCAGGAACCCTGGAGGGAGCGGGTTAAGGGTGGGGAGAGCGTCTGGAAACTTGAAATGCGGGCTCAGGGGGAGAGAGCGGAGACCGCGGAGGCAGGTGGGGATGACGTTGGGGAAAGCTCGGATGAGGAGTTAAAAGCCATCCGGATAACAGCTCAGCGCCGGGAAGCTGGCCTCCTGGGTCTGGAAAAGCGTAAAAGCTCGCGGACCTGGCTTAGGGCGTGGAACCCTGGAGTGGCAAGGGGGTGGGAGGGTGGCGAAAGGGGATCTTTAGGAACCACTACAAAGTCGGGACCCCAGAGCGCATGGGAATCTAACCCAGGTCATCGGGGGTCCGTGGGCTGGGTCTTCTGCGCTCTAAGCCGGCGCCGCGGGGAGTGGAGGGGGCCTGGGGGCGCGCTCACAGCCCGCCCGCCCTCGCAGTCGAGGACCTGAGCGCCAAGCTGAAGCCGTACCAGCCGAGGGACTGGCGCCACGCGCCGCGCTTCCTGACCCTGCTCAAGCGGCACGCGGTGCTGCGCGGCCAGGACTGCACCATGACCTGCGTCTTCCTTGGGAACCCGCGGCCCACGGTGACCCTCTACAAGGGCGACGTCAACATCACGGCCATCTCCAAGTTCTGGTACAGCTCCACCAGGGGCGTGTGCACAACCGTCATCCCCACCGGCACGCTCAAGGACAGCGGTGAGTACAGCGTGGCGGTGGAGAACGAGCTGGGCAAAGACCCCAGCAGCTGCCCGCTCACCGTTTATGGTCAGGGTCCCGCGGAGCCGGGCCTGGGGGGTCTGGGGGGCGCCTGGCTCGGTCTCACTGGGCCAGAGGCGCAAAATCACGGTCTCGTGGGCTGTTGACAGACTCTTTTGGTAGGGCTGGTGCCGTATTTTATTTACTCTGCCATCAGGTAGTGTAAACATTCTCTAACTGGCCACGGTTTGTACCACTCTCTCCCATCCTCTCAATATTATGTGCCTGGCCCCTGCAGACTTGTGAGTTTGCAATCCCTTGGTAGACTGTAGTTTGCAACCCTTGGTGGGCCTAGACTTGCCTTTGAAAAAGATACTGGTGATCAGACTGAAACCAGATTCACCAGTCACCATCTCTCTGGCAGGGTTCTGGAAGGAATCTTTGTTTGCAAAATTTTGCAAGTGATTCCAATGTGCAACCAAGATGGAAAACTACTGGTCTAGGATAAGGACAGATAGGCGGCACAAATAGTGGGAGGGCTGAAGGGAATCTAGTAGAGGCCCTCCCACCCCACACATGTGCCACGTTTCTGCTCATGTGTGCACGTGTAGGGGAAATACTTTATTTCTTCCTACACAGTCTACTGTCTTCACAGCTACACAGCTAGTAGTGTGAACTCTCTAAATGCAAAGCTGACCTGCCTTGCTCCCTCTTGCTTAAACTCCCTCCTAGCTTTCCCAACCAACAAGGCTCCCTGCCACCCCATCTACCTCTCCAGCCTCATCCTCTGCCACTCCCTGAACTCTCCAAGGCACTCCATTGGTGTCCGTAGTCTCCCCAGTTAGACTTTTTTCATCCTGTTACTGATGCCTTTCCTTGGAGAAAGGACCATCTCCTGTGTTTCTGTCTCTCAAGTACTCGGCTAAGTGTCTGGCACTGAGATGATGCCTCAAGAGTGGCTGCTGAACTGTGTAACAGAACTAGGCCAGGGAAGGCACTGTGGGAGACATCCAGCTTTCATTCCACAGCCAGAGAGATCCCTGACAACTTAATTCTGGTTGTAAGCACATGGGCCCAGGGCCCTGGCTCCACTACCCACCGGCCATGTGATCTTGGCAAGCCACTCAGAGCCTGTTTTCTCATCGACTTCTCAGGGCTGTTGTGAGGCTTAAATGAGATGGTGCATAAAAGTGCCTGGCAAATATTAAGTGCTGAATAATTGGCAGCTCCTGGCCCCACACACTCTGCTGACCTTGGGAGATGGGGGCTGGAGCTGGGCGTGGGGCCTAGCCCCAGGGAGGATTGAGGATCCCAGGCAGGGTCTAACTCCTGGTTCCTGCATACTAACTGCAAGTCCAGCAATTTGAAGTTTCCCTTGCCCCAGCATCATCAACACTAACAAATACTTGCTTTGCTCTTTCAGACAAAGATGATAAGTCAATTCCAGCATCAGTCACTGAGAGTCTGCAGAAGAAATCCAAGTATCTTATGGGAGCTCCAGCCCCACCCACGCATCAGGAGAATGTTGTGATGTGGGGCTTCTGGCCTGTCCTCTGCGTGGCCTCAGTGAGGGAGGCCCAGTGTGCTCTGTGGTGCTTGTCAATGCAGTCAGTCAGTGAAGGAATGGGACGATAAACGGACTGATCTCACCCTTGCCTGTTCCTGAATGTGGTGTACAGCAGGCACCAAGGAGATGGACTTGGGAGTGGGATGGGGATACACAGAACCTGGACCCCTGAGAGCTCGGTGCAAACCCACCCACATGGGGAGTGACAAGCCCCCTTTCACTGGGCCTTGACTTGCCCTCCCCCACTCCCCAGCCACACTGCATCCTCCCCTCCTCTCAGGGCATAGGGGGCAAGTCTTGCCAGCTTCATCCTTCTCTCCATCCTGCTCCCTCCCATTTCCTCACACCAGGCAGGTCTATCTTCAGAGTTCTGGGGTTTGAAGGGATCAGGACCTTGCCTCTCTAGTGTACAGGGTTCCCACTGTTTGAGAATTAGAGCATCTTAGAGCTAGAAGAGCTTGGTCATCCAGCTCACTAGGTTTCAAACTTGTTTTGCAGTGGAATCCTTCCTTAAAAAAAAAGATCTTAAGAAGCTACTGGACTTGAATCAAGGATAGGGGGTCTTTGAGCCTCCCTCCTCTACTTACTCTTTTGCCATCTCCCACCAGGGATCTCTGTAAAAACCCTAGTGTGAAAATCACTGATTCATCCAACACCCACATGGGACCTGAGTCTCCTCTCTCACATCCCCCCAACAGTACAGCCCCTCTACTGATGGCATGTTTGCCACCACCCAATGCTTCCTTTCCTACTCTGGCTCAGGGCACTGCCCATTAAGATGCAAATGGCCCTGGAGTGAGGTGACACATTATTCTGCCAGGGCTTCACATCTAAAGTATGAATCAGCAAATCGAATCTCATTCCTCCCAGCCGTTCAACCGAGACCAGAGCCCAGGGAGAGAGGAGATGCTTGAAGGAAATCTGGATCATTCTGGGGCAGGCAACAGGTCTGGGGTGGGGAGGGGAGAAGATAGGCAGCAGTACAGGACACTGGGTAACTAAGTCACCAAAGGTGCTGGGCACTCGTGCACAGGGAGTGTATCAAGGACAAATGTGGACAGTGGCAAATACTACTACCCATCCTCCTGAACTACATCCTTACCCACACACAAGACCAGGGAAGTGAGACCCACACCAACCAGCACAGTGTCACCAGAGCCATGGTGCCAAGACGCACTGGCCAGGACTGTGACCCAGGCTGTGAGGACATCCAGGGGCCTGGCACCACGCCCCCACCCCCTCCTCTCCAGGACAGGCACGTGCCACACAGGTAGACAAGCAGGGCAACCAGTGGCCCTTGATTTTTATTTTTACTTTTATATGGGAAGTAAAGGATGGAGTTGTCCCATCCTTGCTCCCCTTGCATTGCATGTGCCATAGGTCTTATGACCCTAGAGTGTCATTGGAGCCCCCTCCTCTTGCTCCCAGTGCAGGAGGGGCAGGCAGGAAAGCACTGAGTGGAGGGGGAGGCGTGGGGGTCCCAGCTCACTGAGCTAGGCGTGGCACCCCCTCAGCAGCTCCCTGAAGCCCTCTCCCTGTAAGACTTTAACAGACAGCAGGATAGAGACATATGGCAGAGAAAGACATAGAAGGGCTGAGAGACAGACTACAGACGTGCACCCGTGCACACACACACGCACGCGCACACACACACACAGCTGGCCCCTTCCTTTGGCATGGTTCACCCTAGCCCTGGGGATAGGGTCTGAGGGTGGTGGTTTGGGGCCTGAGCCCTGGGCTGGCCTTTGAGAGAGATGAGACCAACTTGAATCCTTGGTACCCCAAGCTCTCAGGCCAAACAGGTCCCCAATCTTGCCTACCTGGACAGACACCCCTTCACCTTCCCACCCACCACTTAGAGACTGGGATTGTTCAAGTAACAAGGATAGAGGAGGGAAAAGAAGACTCCACCTTCATCCAGTCTTCCCAACGAGAGGCCTGTGAAAGGGGCTTCAAGCCCTGGGCCCGGGTCATCTCAGCACAGACTTCTCCCCTCTTCCCTCAACTCTGTGCAGGTTAGAAAGAGTGGGAGTGGGTGAGTAAGACTCTTCCATCTAGCAGAAGTAGGGGGAGGTCAAGAAGCTGAGCACCATTGCCCTCCAGAGGGGCTCTGACAGTCCCGATGGGGTGGAGGTGGGGAGATGGCTACTTCTGGCTCTTTCTAGCTCTCAGCATTGTCCTGGACCACTAAGCTTTGCTAGAGGGATCCTCTTCCTGTTGACTCCCTCAAACTTGTACACTTCCCCAGTGGCACCTGCTTCCCCAGGCTGGTCCTGTAGCCATCTGATCCAGCTCTTGCAGGTTCCCAGGTTCTGGACCCCAGCCCCAGGAGGAGAGAGGGGTGACCAGACCCTGGCCCCTCAGTTGGCCTTGCGCAGTCTGTAGTCTTCCACTGGCTCCCGGCTCTCGACAGCTGACAGGGCGATGAGCATCTGGGCAGCATAGTAGGTGGACATGATGAGTGCCCGAGAGTAGGGCACAGGAAAACAAAACTTGTCAAGGGCGATGGTCAAGTCTGAGATGATAAAGAGCAGTGCACCGCTGCCCGCCGCCAGCTCAGTCCAGCGCCAGGCTGCCCCGACCAGCCGTAGCCCTGCCATAGCACGCCAGCCCATGAAGGCGATAAGGGCCACATAGACCCCCACCAGGTAGGTGAAGGCACCTGAGAGGCCCGGGTAGAGGAAGGCATAGCACAGGCCCGACAGCACTGCCATCACCAGACCTGTCCGAAGAGCCAGTGGCCGCATGCCAAAGGCCGAGGCGTAGAGGATGTGGGTCACAGCAAACATCAGCAGACCTGGGAGAGGAGATGAGGGGATGCTGAGGGCAGGCTCAGGTGAGTAACAAGTACAGGGGGTGGGGGTGGGAGTGGAGTGCTTGGGATAACCCAGGAGCTTTGTTTTGGGAGTAACAGGGATGGGAAGAAATCCACAAAGGTAAAGACACCCACCCACTCCCCTGAGGAACTCCAGAACTGATCACCAGATCACCTGCAAGGTCATCCTCCAGCAGGGGCCCCACAGGCCTTAGCGTCAGAACCCCTGAGATTCCCCATATTCTTGTTCAAAAGCTCCCTCTCCCAAATTCTGGGCCCCCCTCTAGGCCCCAGCCGAAGGATTCCTCCCAGGTAGCTACTGTGGCGACTGACCGTGCACAAAGTAGCCCTGGTCCTGCCAGATGAGGAAGGCATCGCCTACTGCGGAGAAGACGAGCCCCACAAAGATGCGGATGGCACTGGGATGGGCCAGCAGGAATCCTAGGCCATGGGCCAGAAGGAAGAGCCAGAGGCAGAAGATGGGCAGGCACTTGATGAGGGCGCTGACCCACGACGGGCTGGATGAGGGCAGCCAGAGCACAAAATACACGCAGGTGGCCTTGAAGAAGGGCACCAGCTTGGGTCCCTCACTCTTCACCTGGAGGACATAGGACAAGGGCAGCACTCAGAGCTTTGGAGCTCAGAAGCCCATAGTGGGGCTCAGAGCCAGCCCCCTCAGCCCACACATCCACCCCAGAGACAGGCCCACCTCCCAGGCAGGGAGGGCTGACACACAGAGACCCAGTTTGGCCTGCCCCAACCAGCCAGCAGGGTGTGAACAAGCCCGTCCCCACCCTGAGGCTTAATTGATTGGGAAGGGGAAGCGCTCCACTGTTCCCCATGCCGATGTCCATTCTTGGCCCTGGGGCAGGACCGGAATGGACACTCACTGGACAGAAAAGAGACTTTGGGATAATGTCCTCTCCTGCAGCCCAATGCTTCTTTCTCCCTTCCTGCCCCCTCCCCCTCCCCCCCCAAAGCCCCTTTAGCCCTCTCTGCCAGCATCAGCCCCCAGCTGCCTGGAATGGAGTGGAGTCAGCAAGAAACCACAGAGACGCCACACCTGGCCAACTCATGATCTTCAGCAGTGGGGCCAGGGCACAGGCTTAGGCCCCAGCAACACCAGGTGAGCGCCAGGAATGCGTGAGGGCGGGCACTGCCAACCACCTCAGCCCCTTCAGGCTCTCTCCTGGCCAGTGTGCTCCTCAGCCTCCACCCCACCGCCCCAGGGAAACGTACCATCCAGGGCAAGGGAGGAGACAGGGATGCTGGCTAGAGAAAGGGACCCACTAGTTGGGAGCAAGAAAACTGTCCCTTGAACACCAGTGATTTCAGGGATTGGGGGGTTGGAGGAGGGTGTCAGTCAGTCTCATGTCCCAGAGAACAAGACCAACTCAAGGCACATCAGAAAGAGAGGCAGGAAGGGGGCGGGCTTCTCTTGCCTGCTTTTGATCTGAAGCCAGCAGACAGGCTGGGAGGAGATGAGGAACAGAGGGGGAAGTTAGAGCAGCTGACTTGGTCTCAGCCGGATTAGGGGGGAGGGCAGCTAAAGAAAGGTTGTGTCCAAGGCCACTGCAGGCACTTGCCAAGCTGAGGGGGGAGCTGCTGCAGAGATTCTGAATCTGTGATCCCCTGAAGCTCCTTTCCTTGGGCTTCTGGTACGGGGTCTCTCGGGGTGACTCAGAGCAGCTGAGGTTCCCTGGATACCCACACTCCGCCCAAAGTGATTGTGCCCCTGGCTGGGTGAGCTGTCCAGCACAGGGTTCTGGGGACACGCTCAGACTCCCAGGCCACCAGTTACCTGGGGACTGATCAGACTTTGATGAAGGAGGTCGGAAAGAGGCAGATGGGTGGGTCCAAGGTCCAAGCCTGCCCTTGCTCTGTCAGAGGTGAGAGCAGAGAGGAGATGACTAAGTTCCTTCCTACGGAGATTTCCCCATCCAGGCTGCTCAGGACAGGGGCACGGGCAGAGGAGGAGACTGGAGGAGACACACAGCCCCACAGTCCCCAGATCTCCCCAGCATCCACCTGTCAGCCCTTGGAAGCATCAACGTCTGCTCCATACACTTCCCCCAGCCCCATATTTGCTAGAAGGAGAAACAGGCAGTAGTAGCTGGGGGGACTCTGACAGTCATAGAGAACCCAGCACTAGAAGGAGGAGGGTGGGGAAAAGAGACAAATGTTCGAGTTAGAAAGTCTGAATAGAAGGAAGTGTCAATAGAGAATGATCCCTTTTCCTCCTGCGCGTTATCGACGCTGCTTAGATTCGGGGCGTCCCCTCCCCCACCCCAGATTTGTTGATGAGGATGGGGAGGAAACAAATTTGGGACAGGATTCCCAGGAGGTCCTAGTCACCCTCCTGCCCTCCCCCGCCCTCTCCCACGCCTCCCTGTGGCCTGCCCACGCACAACCCGGCGGCCCGCTGCTGTCCCCTTCCTCTTCCCGGCAGCGACCCCGCCGCCCCGCGCCAGACAGCCCGAGATCCACAAAGTCACGCTTCCGAGTCACGTGCCCACTGTTTTCCTCCCTCCCGCGGGCGGGCGGGAGGGGGGCGCGGAGGGGGGGCGCCGCGGGTCTGGGGAGCGGGGGCCGTGACAGCGCCGCTCCGGCCGTCGCGGGCTCCCTGCCCTGCCTCGGCCCCAGCGGCTTGGCCTGCCGCAGCCCAGTCCCCAGGCCGGTGGGCTCCGGCCGCGCGGGACACTGGCTCGCTCGCTCGCTCACTCACCACAGTGACCGGGGACACCATGGCGGTGGCGGCGGCGGCTGGCACCCCGCTCCGGGCTGCAGCGGCCGGGACGCGCTCGC